TGGCCGGAATGAGCAAAGGTACGTTTGGAGAAGAAGGGGCACAGAATTTAATGAAAAGAACCTCTGTCCAACTGTTAAGCATTTGGTTGGATCAATCATGCTTTGGGGTTGTGTTGCAGCCAGTGGCACAGGGAACATCTCACGAGCAGAAGGAAAAATGGATTCAATAAAATTTCAGCAAATTTTGGATGGTAACTTGATGCCATCTGTGAAAAAGCTGAAGTTAAAGAGAGGATGGCTTCTACAAATGGATAATGATCCTAAACACACCTCGAAATCCACGGGGGATTACATCTGGAGGCGTAAACTGAAGGTTTTGCCATGGCCTTCACAATCTCCTGACCTCAACATAATTGAAAATCTATGGATAGACCTTAAATGAGCAGTGCGTGACAGACAGCCCAGAAATCTCAAAAAACTGGAAGACTTTTGTAAGGAAGAATGGGCAAAGATACCTCAAACAAGAATTGAAAGACTCTTGGCTGGCTACAAAAAGCGTTTACAAGCTGTGATACTTGCCAAAGGGGGCAGTACAAGATATTAACTCTGCAGGGTGCCCAAACTTTTGCAGACGCCATTTTTTTGTTTTCTGTTATTTTGAAGGTGTAAATGATGGAAATAAAATCTAACTTTTGTTGACATATTATAAGAATGTCTAATCTGTAATTTGATGCCTTTTGGAGATTTTTCCATCTTTCCTTGGCTTCTTTATGCACATTAATACAAATTTTTAGCTGGGGGTGCCCAAACTTTCGATCCCCACTGTGTGTATGTATGTATGTATGTATGTATGTATGTATGTATGTATGTATGTATGTATGTATATATATAGTGTTTGGTTGTGCATTTTTGATAGTCTTGCAGATTCCCACACCCCTTGTCCCCATCACTAGTACCAGGCTCACTTGCTTCAACTAAGAAAAGCCATTACATATCTTAATTGCACCAGGAATAGAATTGCCAGGCACTGGAAGTCGACAAATGCCCCCCACGCTCACAGAAATGATTGCTGAACTCACTCGAATACAACACCTGGAAGCGCTGGTAGCACATCATCATGACAAATTTTCAGCCTACATGGCCACCTGGTGTATCTGGATTTTCTTTTCGGACTCTCCTCACTTTCAAACCATTTTCTTCTGATTGTGTATATTAGGTTCATGCTGCGTCTCTCCCACCCTCCAACCCATCCATCTTCTCCCTTCCTCCCCCTTTCTTCGCCCTGTCTGCTTTTTTCCCCTACCCTCTTCTCCAACTCTTTCAACTTCCGCTTATCATTCATTTATTTCCAGACTCTCCATCCAGCCATTGGTAGTCTTCTCCCTAGAAGGATTACACCCCAACATCCATCAGACAGCTGCTGCTTGAAGCCCAAGTCCCACATAGAGAACTCTACGACACACCGACAAGTCTACAGGCTTGGAAAAATCTGTATGTAAATGGATGGAAAACTGGCTAAAAGATTGTATTCAGAGAGTAGAGGTTAATGATTCATACTCTGAATAGTCTGGGGTTGTCAGTGGTGTACCCCAAGGTTCAGGGTTGGGACCCTTACTTTTTAGTAAATTTATAAATGATACAGGGTCTGGGATTAAATATCCCATTTCAGTCTTTGCAGATGACACCAAGCTGTGCAGTGGAATAACGTCCTTACAGGATGTCTCCAATTTACAAGCCGAGCTCAATGCACAGTTTAATTGGGCAACTATGTGGCAAATGAGGTTTAATGTTGATAAATGTAAGGTTATGCACTTGGGGGCTAAGAATATGCAAGCATCATGCATACTAGGGGGGTACAACTGGGGGAATCAATGGTGGAGAAGGATCTGGGGGTTCTGGTAGACCACAAGCTTAATAATGACATGCGATGCCAAGCTGCAGCTTCTAAAGCGAGCAAAATCCTCTCTTGTATTAAAAGAGGTATAGACTCCAGAGCGATATCATATTACCCCTGTACAAATCAGTAGTAAATACCTCATCTGGAATATGCAGTTCAGTTTTGGGCACCAATTCACAAAAAGAACATTGGGGAAGTGGAGAAAGTACAGAGAAGGGCAACCAAACTGATAAGAGGCATGGAGGAGCTCAGCTATGAGGAAAAGATTAGAGGAACTGAATGTATTCTCTCTTGAGAAGAGGAGATTAAGGGGGGATATGATCAACATGTATAAATACATCAGTGGTTCATATAGTGAACTCGGTGTAGAGTTATTCACCCTGAGGTAATCACAGAGGACAAGGGGGCACTCTTTACGTCTGAGGAGAAGAGATTTCATCTCCAAACACGGAAAGGTTTCTTCACAGTAAGAGCTGTGAAAATGTGGAATAGACTCCCTTAAGAGTTGGTTCTGGCCAGCTCCATGGATTTCTTTAAAAAAAGTGTGGATTCTTTCTTGGATACACAGAATATAACTGGATACTAACATTTAGAGGTAAAGTTTGATCCAGGGAATATCAGATTGCCCTCTCGGTGGGGATCAGGAAGGAATATTTTCCCTTGGAGTAGCAAATTGGATCATGCTTTGCTGGGTTCTCTGCCTTACTCTGGATCAACTGTGGGTGTAGGATTAGAACTTTTTTTTTTTTTTTTTTTATGATTGAACTGGATGATGGACTTTTGTCTTTTTTTCAGCCAGACTAACTATGTAACTATATGTAACCTAACGAGAGACTTTGAATGCCATATCTTCTCATGTTCCCCACTATTGGGCATGGACTACAGTTGTATGTTAACTACCTTCTATTCTAGCGTACTCACAAACCCCCTCTAATGAATCTAGTGTCTCAAGACACTACAGCTTGAAATCATCTCAAAAAAGAGAAGTCCTCTTGTAGATTGTGGTCACCAAACAAGTGTCCCCAGTGGAAGTTTTTCCCTTCTATTCCTGTTAAGTAACAACATCATTTTAGATTTTCTCTCACTTTGTATTGGTGAAAGTGATCTTCAAACACAAATCCCCCCCCAAAGTGAAATAAAAACTAAATAGGAGTTCTAAACTTCTTACTTAACCACTTGCCCTCCAGAGGGTTTTACCCCCCCCTTCCTGACCAGACCAGGCCATTTCTTGTGTTACTTTAACTGACAATTGCACGGTCATGCAACGCTGCACCCAAAAATAAATTTATGTCCCTTTTTTCCCCACAGAGCTTTCTTTCAGCAGTATTTGATCACCTGTGCGCTTTTTATTTTTTGTTCTATTGAAAAAAAAAAAACTTAAAAATACTTTTTGCTATTAAACATGTCCAGTGAAAAAAAAATGTAAAAAAAAAAAATGTAAAACGCTTCAAATGTCTTTGATCAATACTATTATTATTACTAAATACAGGATTTATATAGCACCAACAGTTTGCTCAGCACTTTACAATATAACGGGACAGACAATACAGCAGCAATACTGTTCAATAAAAGAGGGTTAGGAGGGCTCTGCTTATTATTTGGACTATGCCCCTCTCGCCTTATTTAATAATCACCTGACAATTTAAAGTGGATGTAAAGGCTCCAGGTTTTTTAACAATCTATACATGAAGGTAAAAATCCTTCTGTGTGCATCAGCCCCCCCAGCCCCCTAATATTTAACTGAGCCCCATCACAATCCAGTGATACACATGAGAACCTCAGCTCTCTGAGGACTCTCCCTCATCATTGGCTGAGACAGCAGCAGGAGCCATTGGCTCCCACTGCTGTCAATCACAGTCTGTGAGCCAGTGGGGGGGGGGCGGGACCCAGCCACAGCTGTTTGTGAATGGACACACAGAGCACCATGTCCCGTGGCGTTGCAAGTGTCCACTTTCAGCCGATATGTGAGGGGGGTCAGGGTGGGGAGCGGAGCAGAGCATGGGAAGGTTCTTCCACTCCTGTCCTAATCCAGCATCTCTGTGACCCCTATCCTCCCCGCTCATGGGGGCTAATAATGTGTTCACACACCATCATATAGACCGCACATTCTCCAGTAGGACAACACTAGCTAAAGTCTCTCTGTGAAAATCAGCATTCACATGGAATTTTTCATTCAGAATATTTGCAATCTAGAAGATAGTAAGTGAACACAACATGTACGGTTACAGAAGGCGCCTTCAAAACTTCAGAGATCATGTGAGTGCAGCATAATTCATAGACATAGGGGACAGGACCTCCAATGATGGGGGGTGTAGGAAGGACAATATCTGAAGATGGTTTAGGTGGAGCCATGATGTACCCCTTCATCACCAGTATCTGCTGGCCAAGATCACACAACCAGTACTACAGTGCTGATCACATGGCCAATGCCCCAGTGCCAACCACATGATCAATGTCCAGGCGCTAATCACATGACCAGTGCTAATCACATGGCTGATGCCGCAGTGCTGACCGCAGGATCCATGTTGCGGCGCTAACACAGCCAATGCCCCAGCCTCCCATAAAGCTGTTGTAAATCCATGCAGAGAAAAATATATAAAATAATCTACAAAAAAAATATATATAATTTAATAGTGTTAAAATAAAGCTACATCTACATTTCTTCCAGTACATCAAAAGTCGTTATAAAAGGTTTGCAGGTTCTAAGAAAGGAAACTACAACAACCAATCAAAGTGTCCCCATCACTGATCAGATTACATGCAACTGACGTGTGATTGGCTGTTAGGCATCCCTGCACCTGGCTCTGCTCTGTCATTAAATATCCCCCTTCTCAGCATTGTGAAGCTTGATGGGGTCAGCCCCGAGCCCCCCCGGTACTCACTGAATCCACAGGGATCACCCCCACTCCTCCCGGCGGCCATGTCTGCTTTCCAAGTTTCACCTGAGCCCCGCCCCGGGAGAAATCATCTTCCCGGGACCCGCCCACTGACATCATCGCACCTGTCCGCTCAGGACTCACCTGAGAACGTTGGGCTTCGAAGTTCTAAAACCCCGCCCCCTGTTTTATAGCGCCTCGCCCCTCACTGCCTTCTCTCTCAGTAGGGAGAGGCCTGAACATTAGGGGGAGGAGTTGGGACATCTCTCCTGCCGCTCAGGACTCACCTGAGAACGTCAGGCGTCCAAGTTTTGAGAACGCCTCCCTTGTGCCCCGCCCCTGTCATCATTTTCAATGTCCAGGCAGTAGGGGAGGAGCCCATTTCATAGGAAGAGGAGCGGCAGCTCATCTGAGAACGTCGGGCTTTCAAGTTCTGAGAACCCCGCCTCTGGAGTTTTGCAGCCACGCCTTCCACGGTCTTCTTTTCCAGCAATGTACAGGCAGTAAAGGAGGAGCCCGTACACGAGGGGGCGGATCCTGCACATCGCTCCTCCCTCCAGGTCAGGAAGAGGAAATCATCCTCGTCCAGTGGCAGTACACGGGGTAGGGCTCCTCCGGCAGAGCGTTCATCATGGGGCCGGACACGGAGCTGCTGGTGTTCGCTAACTGGAGCACTCTGCTGGTGTGCATGGTGCTGAAATTCCCGCAGATCGTGTCTATCATGGGATCCAGGAGTACGGAGGGGCTGAGCCTGGCCAGTGTACTGCTGGAGGTGACCGGGTAAGATCGGACAGTCCCTGCGCTATGATGACCAATGGGAACGGCCATGAGCTCATTTCTGGCCATGAGATGTATTCCCCTCCCCGGCCAGTCATTGGATCCTGGATGACTACTGCAGGTTAAGCAGTGGGCTTTGGATGACTTAGAGGGGTACTCCACCTTTCTGACAGTCCCCCCCCCCCCCCCCCAGCCTAAATCTCCCTTCCTAACAGAAATCCCCCCTCCACTCTTAGTGACCCCACTTCCCAAATCCCCCTTCCTAACAGAAATCCACCCTCTTACTGACCCCACCCCCTAAATCTTCCTTCGTAACAGAAGTCCACCCTCTTAGTGACCCCCCAAATCCCCCTTCCTAACCGAAATCCACCCTCTTAGTGACCCCACCCCTGAATCCCCCTCCCTAACAGAAATCCACCCTTTTAGTGACCCCCCCCCCCCAAAAATCCCCCTTCCTAACAGAAATCCACCCTTTTAGTGACACCCCCCCCCCCTAATCCCCCTTTCTAACAGAAATCCAACCTCTTAGTGACCCCCTTCCTAACAGAAATCCACCCTTAGTGACCCCCTCCCTCCAAATCCCCCTTCCTAACAGAAATCCACCCTTAGTGACCCCCAAATCTCCCTTCCTAACAGAAACCCACCCTCTTAGTGACCCCTCCCCCCAATCTCCCTTCCTAACAGAAATCCACCCTCTTAGTGACCCCTCCCCCCAATCTCCCATCCTAACAGAAATCCACCCTCTTAGTGACCCCCCAAATCCCCCTTCCTAACAGAAATCCACCCTCTTAGTGACACCCCTCCAACATCCCCCTTCCTAACAAATCCACCTTCTTAGTGACCCCCCCCCCCCCTCCAAATCCCCCTTCTTAACAGAAATCCACCTTAGTGACCCCCCCCCCTTCAAATCCCCCTTCCTAACAGAAATCCACCCTTAGTGACCCCCCCCCCCCCCAATCTCCCTTCCTAACAGACATCCACCCTCTTAGTGACCCCTCCCCCCAATCTCCCTTCCTAACAAAAAATCCATCCTCTTAGTGACCCCCCCACATCCCCTTTCCTAACAGAAATCCACCCTCTTAGTGACACCCCCCCAAATCTACCTTCCTAACAGAAATCCACCCTCTTAGGGACACCCCCCCCCCCAAATCCCCCCTCCTAACAGAAATCCACCCTCTTAGTGACACCCCCCCCAAATCCCCCTTCCTAACAGAAATCCACCCTCTTAGTGGACCCCCCCCCCCCCAAATCCCCCTTCCTAACAAATCCACCTTCTTAGTGACCCCCCCCCCCCTCCAAATCCCTCTTCTTAGCAGAAATCCACCCTATTAGTGACACCCCCCCCCCCCAAATCCTCCTTCCTAACAGAAATCCATGTTTTAATGACCCCCCCCAAATCCCCCTTCCTAACAGAAATCCACCCTTAGTGACCCCCCAAATCCCCCTTCCTAACAGAAATCCACCCTCTTAGTGACCCCCCCCCCCAATCCCCCTTCCTAACAGAAATTCACCCTCTTAGAGACCCCCCCCCCTCCAAATCCCCCTTCCTAACAGAAACCCATCCCGCTTAGTGAATCCCCCCCAAATCACACCTTCCAGCACAACCCTTAAATTCCCTCTGCGCCCTGGATAAAATTTGGAAAACAGGTAATTTTTTCTCCTTCACTGATGTGCGTTGATGAGGCTGCACTAATGGGCACTGATGAGGTGGCACGGATAGGCTGCACTGATGGGCATTGATAGGCCGCACTGATGAGGTGGCATGGATAGGCTGCTCTGATGGGCATTGATAGGCCGCACTAATGGGCACTGATGAGGTGGCATGGATAGGCTGCACTGATGGGCATTGATAGGCTGCACTAATGGGCACTAATGAGGGGGCATGGATAGGCTGCACTGATGTGCATTGATAGGCCGCACTATTGGGCACTGATGAGGTAGCATGGATAGGCTGCACTGATGGGCATTCATAGGCCGCACTAATGGGCACTGATGAGGGGGCATGGATAGGCTGCACTGATGGGCATTGATAGGCCGCACTAATGCGCACTGATGAGGTGGCACGGATAGGCAGCACTGATGGGCATTGATAGGCCGCACTAATGGGCACTGATGAGGTGGCATGGATAGGCTGCACTGATGGGTATTGATAGGCCGCACTAATGGGCACTGATGAGGTGGCATGGATAGGCTGCACTGATGGGTATTGATAGGCCGCACTAATGCGCACTGATGAGGTGGCACGGATAGGCAGCACTGATAGACCGCACTAATTGGCACTGATGAGGGGGCACGGATAGGCTGCACTGATGGGCACTGATAGGCTGCACTGATGGGCATTGATAAGGAGGCTCTGATGATGTTGCACTGATATGTAGTAATGATGGCCCCTGTTGGGTGGCACTGCTGAGCACTGATCATCAGAGCCCTGATGATCAGTGCCGATCTCCTCTGTGACAGCTGCCGTTTATCAGCAGTACTTTCCTCGTGCTGTAACAGAGTGAGGAAAGTGCAGCCGATAACCATCAACTGTATTTACTCAGTGATCTTCTGTGTCATTGGACGCAGCTGATCACATGGTAAAAGGCCGCTGTGATTGGCCTTTTACCTCATCATGTGATCAGCTGTGTCCGTAGGACACAGCGATCATGGAGATGGTTGGTTCATGCTGCTGGGGATGCTCGGGAGGGCGTGTTCTGGGAGGACATCATATGACGCCCTCCCAGAACTGGCCCACTGCGCTGTAGCCGTCATTCAGCTATAGCGTGTTTGGTAAGTGCTTAAATGACAAGTTCACTTTTCTAGGGAAAAAAAAATGCACCTTTTTTGCATTTATTGTTATTTTTCTTTTAGGAGCCCTTAAAGCATTGCACCCGTGATCATCGGATCTCAGACTGTCAGTGTACCAGTCTGCTTGTACCTCATACTGGCAACAGTTCCACAATGACAGGAAGCATCAATGAACTACCTAGAGAACTCACCAGCTCCCTGGTAGTTCATTGGGAGCCACATGTCATCAGCCACAAAGGCTGTCAGGACTTGTAGTTCATCTATTCTCAGAGCTCTGTGAAGGAATGATGTAGCTGTGTGGGCAGAGCCCTGCATGGCAGCGTTCTTGTCAAATTGTGATAGCGGGTGCAGGGAGAAGATCCCTGTCCTGCTGTCACAAAAGTGGGGGGTGGATCGGGGAGAGGCTGCCAGAGAGGGAACATGTTGCATGATTCCAAAGGTATTATTCCTTTAAAATAATAATAACCCAAAACATCATCTATTGCAGTTCACCAATCACTGCATGTGGTGCCTGCATTTGTTTTCTTTTTTTTTAGGCTTTTACTCCTCTGTTTTCACCTGGTGATCTGGCCAGTGACACACCTCCTTTTTTAAGCCACCCTGGATGAAGGATCATGGGGGATACCTTTGGGTAGCAGCATTGTCAGTCTGGGGGGAGGGGAGTGTTAGATGTATTAGCAGATTTAAATACACCAACAAATAGAAGCCACACTCCAGCTCACATTATATAGTCCGTTACTGAAAACAGTTTTTTCTTTTAGGATTGAGGCCTCATGCACACTTGGTATTAAAAACTCCTTTTTGATGTTTTTTTTTTTTTCCGCCTCTAAACACCCCCCTGTGTTAGCCATTGGGGTTCATTTACTAAAGCTGGAGAGTGCAAAATCAGGCTCACCTCTGCATAGAAACCAATCAGCTTCCAGGTTTTATTGCCAAAGCTTCATTGAACCAGCTGAGGTTAGAAGCTGATTGGTTTCTGTGCTGAAGTGAGCCTGATTTTACACTCTCCAGCTTCAATGAACCCCTGTGTGTCCATACACATGTTGGCTTTGCCAGGTGTTTAGAGGCCAGGAGAAAGGTGTTCAGGAGAGCTAGGCAAGTTGTCCAGTGTGCATGAGGCCAAGGGTTTTACATAAATAAAAGCTGATCATTGTACACTCCCCTGTCAGTGTTCAATGGTTTGTCCCAACCCTGTAAACTGCTACATCTGCAAGGGAGCATGTTCTTTTGAAAAACAACAGACTTGCTGGCTGGGTTGCCAGATGAAAATAGAGGAAAAAAAGCCTATAAAAATGTAAACTAATGCAGCCATCACATCTAAGAATTTTAAGCTGCATTATAATAAATATTTACTTTTGAGTTTTATGCCACTTGAGCCTGGCTTCACACTGATGCGGTGCGGAGTTCACATCAGTTTCTGTGCGGATTCCCCATCGCATCAGTCGCACCCCGTTCATGGGAACCGCTGCAGATGTGTATGCTAACAACATACCGAAATCAGTCCACAGTGCGATGTGCAGAATCGGATTGCATAGGTGTGAATACGCACGCAATCTGATTCTAGTGAGGGCCAAAATGTATGGCTCAGATCGCACCGCACAGAAGTCGAATTCAGTTCCTGTGTGAATCACATGCGATATGCCGCACCGCACAAGTGTGATCCCGGGTTTAATGTTCCACCCAGGGGCGGATTGACCATTTGCGCACTCGGGCACTGCTCAAGGGCCCGGGGTCAGTAGGGGGCCCCATGAAATGCCCCTGGTTCCTTATTCATAGGCTTTTTTGAGTGTGGGCAAGGACACAGGGGCCCCATGATCCCCTATTGCCCGGGGGCCCCATGAGTTGTCAGTCTGTCCCTGGCTCCACCCATATTTGTGGTGTAACGTGAAACACTGTGCCATTGTGCAGCCCCGCCCCCTCAGACTGGGATCAGTACACCCTGATTCATGCCTTTCCATTCCTGGAACTTCTTCATGTGCTTCACAAGATTGAGATGGAAACTGCTCTGTGGTTTTCAGTTCCGTTAAGGCTCCTTCCACACGCGGTGGTTTCTGCTCCAATCAGGAGATCAGCTTAGGCTGGCCATACATTATACAATTTTATTGAGAATTTTGCTTTCGATTTACCAAAAACCATATAATATAAGGTTAAATCTAAACAACACTTTCAATTGTGTCCAATTAGGCAGGCCCTTGCACTACATAGTTGAAGGTAAAGCTAAAGGAAATTGGGCAGAAATTGGGCAGAAAATTGTATAGTGTATGGCCAACCTTAGAGACCCCTTGCTGATGGGAGCAGAGCGGGCGGATGACACATCTGTGTCTGCTCAGTTTCTGCAGCGAGGACACAGACAGAGCTTGCTCTGCTCTGTGGGCAGCTTGGAGTAAGTGAACTCTGCTGTCCATTTACCCCCAACTATCCTCCAATCTGCCTAAACGGAAGAGGACGGATACCCTTCTCCTTTTTTTTTTTTTTTTTTTTTTTTTTTTTTCACCAGATCGGACCTGGAGGTAGGCAGATGTAAACATACACAAGTCCATTTACACCCGCCTGTCCTTGGACCTTCTGATCAGGTCTGCCTGAAAAACTAGCGTTCAGACATGAGGATGGGATTGCCCATGTGAAAGGGCCTACGAATTAACAGAATCCCTGCACCTCTGCTATCAGCAGTGTGGTTTTGATGCAGAAAGTGTGAGATTTCACTCAGTCCTGCACCCGTGTATAGTGTGAAGCTAGTCTTAATCTTGATTCACATAGTACGGCTTTGAAATCGCACTACTTCAGATCAGAACCGCAGATCGGTGCTATTTTGACATTCAATTTAATTGCGGCAGAAAAGTAGTGCAGGAACCTTTTTCTCAGTCGCAGTATTTTGAACGGTTTCATTGTCGGAAATGGGGTGCGAGTTGTCATGCGATTTTGAACTATCAGGTCGCTTGGTGTGAACTTAGTGTTATTTTTTTGTGTTTTATTGTCATATTTTTCTCAAGCTTTATTTACACTAAACTTAAGCACTTTTCAGGCATTTTGTTCAAGCGGTTTTTTTTCAGACATCTTTGAGCTTTTTTTTGAGCAGATTTGCAAATATTATAGGCGTTTTTCATTTAGGCATTTTTGCTGTGGCCAATAGAAATAGCTGCTGTTTGAGCTGAAACCGCTTGAAAAAATGCTCATTCCTCTCATTTAGTTTTGCTACAGGAAACAGAACGCTCAGGTGTGAACAGAGGCTATTGGAAATAATGGGATTTTACTTGCTGAGCATTTTTCAGCTCAAAGCTGAAAAACGCTCAAGTGTGAATGCAGGTAGCACTGCACCACATGAAGATTGTTCCATGACTAAAGGCACACAGAAATATTGCGAAACTATGAACACAGCCTTAGGCTCCATTCACACGGGGTGTTTTAATAACGCTGGTAACGTTAGCTGTGTAAAGTCACGTTAAAAATGAGTTTTTTGGGGGGGGTTTTAGCATTTTTTGCATTACCATTTTGCCGCGTTTTTCATGTTTTATGTTTTTTACAAAAAAAAAAATTTTTTTTCAGTCAAAAAAAGTCCAAAAATGCTGGTTTGCCACGATTTACTGCATTTTTCAGCGTTACAGCGTTTTTACAGCTAAAAAACTCCTCTAGAAACCCACTAGTTCTGAGGTTTCTTTTTTTCCAGCCAAAAAACGTTGATTACAGTCTGTGCATGGACACATAGGATAACAAGCTGGGGGGTTTACTAGCTGTAGAAAAAACCATCAAAAGACAAAAACAGCCGCTGTAAAAAAACGTCCAGTATGCATGAGGACTAAAAATTGCCATCAGTCACAAAACAAACCCTAATGCAACATTACAATTTTTCTGAACACGTCCCTGAGCTCAGGGCAGAACATTGATACATTGTATACTTTTAACTTACTGGCCAGTGCAGAGTTCCCACCAATAATTTATATATTCCCATAATATTGACAGCCTGTACCATGAGTTAAATAATTAATTTGTCTTTTTGTTTTTATGATCAATGATTTATCTAATTTAATTTGCGGTATTTATCTGAAATTCTGTATTTTAGTTTGAACTGATTTTTTTTTATTGCATAAAAAAAAACACCAATATTGTACAGGTAAATGGTAGTGAACTGACCCCACAGTCCCCAGTCTGCTTCTGACCTGACCACTACAGCCTGGGATTTAACATCCATCAACCCAGAATTACCCAGAAGTGAAGGGATGTTCCTGAAAGCAGAACTTCACCCTAGAGGGCATATTCTGCTTTATGCCCCCCCCCCCCGTTTTTTATTTTTTTGCACTTTTTCGGAGGGGAAAACAGGTACCTGAATGTGACAGATACCCCCTCCCACTTCCAGTTGGATAGCCATGGCAGATACACCAGAAGTTCCCCCAACAACCCCCCCCCCCCCCCCCACATCCTTTGGGGATATGTCACAGGTCCCAGAACGCAGTGGGATCATTCACAAAGCACAGCAGTCCTCGCCATGCAGCGCAGTGGGAAGATGGCTATGGAGCTGAAAGGAATTGCAGCCAGCTACCCACAGTCAACATGCTAGGGACCCGAAGAACCAGTTCAGGTGAGGACAGCGTTGGATCCCTGAATAAGTGAGTATCCTTTTATTAAAAGTCAGCCGCTACAATATTTGTAGTGTCTGACTTCGAATGTTTTTCAAACGAGTGAAGAGCTGCTTTACAATGCCCCTGCTTGCCATCCTGAAACAGTTTATTGTTATACTTGAATGACTAACTTTGAGAAAATCGGGACGTGTAAGGTCAGAACCTTTTCAGGATAGAAATATGGGAGATAACATTGCTGACTTGTTTCTAAGGGTACACGTTCCTGTGACTGTGATTCCTTAACTTGTTTCACTTGTTAGTGTGTCACCGACCTGGAATAAGTACGGTATGCTGGGCAGGCATTTTAATTTCAGAAGCTACATGCTTGGTCTGTGACTTGCTGGCTGGGACTTGTTGAAGAGAGGATAACAATGACCGCACTGGAACTTGCTTCTTAAAAGGCAAGTCAGCTGTGTTCACGACCATTTTCCTGCCCTCACAGGTTCACTTAAAGTAAATCTGCCATGGGAGAAATATGGAGTCCACCATTCAGAGCATTGCTAGTGTGACTTTTAAATTGACCTTCTTCAATACTTTTTCGGAAAACCATGTCTAAACATGAATAAAGATCAGCAAAAAGTCAGAGGTCCTTATCTGTGTGCTTGTTCTGGGTCAGTGGCTTAAAGCAGGGGTCTCTAAACTGTGGCCGGATGTGGCCCTTTGCAACCCTTTATGCGGCCCTTGGGGCACTATTCCTCCCACTGAGGCCAATAATGGGGCAGTACTTCTTCCAATAAAACCAATGATGGTGTACTATCCTTCCCATTAATACCAATGGTGGGGCACTTCTTCTCCTACTGACCAACAACCCTGAGGCCATGTTTATTCTCACTGATGCTGGAGCTAGGATATTTTCTTATCCTTACTGGCCCTAATCCGGCCCTCCTAAAGTCTGAAGGACAGTATAATGGCCCTTTGTTTGAAAAGTTTGGAGACCCCTGGCATAAAGTATTGGAATAAAAGGGCCATCAAGAAAATGTTCAGCAATGGCAGCCTCCATGTTTCTCTCATGACCTGTTTCTGTAAACCCACCCATAGCTTTCACTGAACCATGCTGCATTGTTTCTTCCCTCCTAGATTTCTTGTATTTCTACGATACCAAATATACTATGACTACCCAATGGAAACCTACCTGGAGTATCCAATACTAATAGCACAAGGTGAGTGTAAAGGTCCCAATGTACAGCTTAGCCTTGTTTATCCCTCAGATACATTTCATGGCTGTATGAACTGACCAGCCTTCTTCTACCGACCAGGACCACAGTGCAGAGACTGGGAGGAAATGCAATCATATTTATCCAACAAGATGGTTCAAAGATATCAATGATGTCTCAAGCTTAATAATGGCATGCAATGCCAAGCTGCGGTTTCTAAATCTAACAAAATTCTCTCTTGTAGTAAAAGAGGTATAGACTCCAGAGAGAGATATCGTATTACCTCTGTACAAATCATTAGTAAGACCTCATCTGGAATATGCAGTTCAGTGGGCACCAATTCACAAAAAGAACATTGGGGAACTGGAGAAAGTACAGAGAAGAGCAACCAAACTGATAAGAGGCATGGAGGAACTCGGCTATGAGGAAAGATTAGTGGAATTGAATTTATTCTCTCTTGAGAAAAGGAGATTAAGGGGGATATGATCAACATGTATAAATACATCAGTGGTTCATATAGTGAACTCGGTGTAGAGTTATTCACCCTGAGGTCATCACAGAGGACAAGGGGGCACTCTTTATGTCTGGAGGAAAAGAAATGTAATCTCCAAAACACGGAAAGGTTTCTTCACAGTGAGAGCTGTGAAAATGTGGAATAGACTCCCTCAAGAGTTGGTTCTGGCCAGCTCAGTGGATTGCTTTGAAAAAAGGCCTGGATTGTTTCTTGGATACTGTTTTGCCTCAAAACAAAGTGTTTTTAACGCTACTACAAATCACTCACTAATACACGGATTAGGCTTAATAAATATTAAAGCAAAACATGATTTATTGAATAAGTTCTGTTAGTATAATAACATAAGAATTGTCAGAATTGCAAATCATATTTAGATCATATTATAGCAAGAATAAAGCATCAATACATCACCAGATATTGTAGCATCACCCACTGCCCAGTGACTGGGGGACTCCAACAGTCAGCAAAGGGGAATCCGGGAAATCACCGCAAGGCACGTCTGCCGCATCTTCAATGAGTCCCAAATTCCCCTAGAATCCCCCGTCTTTTATATACATAGTTTGGAATGTCTTTATCTACTGCCATGCGCAGTATCTCCTGGTTGTATAACGTCATGTATGATTCTGCGGAGTAGTTAGAGTCAACGCGTGATCGGCTGTGCCATCATGCATAGTTACATATTTTGATGGAATGCACATCTGGTGAATATCAGCCACATCTCTGGTTTTAACTGGTTTAATGTACACTTCCAACATGTCATTTTGAACTCCAGTTACCTATCTAATGGTTATAATCGTTAGCATTATGACAGTTGAGTGTCAATCACTTCTCATCCATACACCCTATACACTCATGTCACATATGTATCACAGATACACAGAATATAACTGGATACTAACATTTATAGGTAAAGTTGATCCAGGGAATATCCGATTGTCTCTCGGGGGGGGATCGGGAAGGAATTTTTTTCCCAGCAGGAACAAATTGGATCATGCTTTGCTGTTTTTTTTTTTTTTTTTTTTTGCCTTCCTCTGTATAAACTGTGGGTGTAGGATTATAACTTTTTGTTTTTTTTTTTTTCTATGGTTGAACTGGATGGACTTGTGTCTTTTTTCAGTCAGACTAACTATGTATGACCCCTAGCAATGAATGGGAAGAGAAAGAGCAGGGCCTTCGAACCCCTCGTGTAGTGTATTGTTACTGTCTTTTCCCATGTTCTGTCCCCCTTGCTACTGTACAGCGCTGAGCATACCCTTTGACGCTATATAAATACTGTATAAATAATATTAATTTAAGCTGGCCCTACATCTGTAGAACTTTGTCATTTTCAGAATGTTTGTTTTTGATTATCTAAGAGTCATAGGCAAATGGTTTCAACCAGAGCTAGTAACAAAACAAAGAAGGATGCAATTTTTTTGTCCAGTCTAATGAGAACAAACAAATTTCTAATAAGTGAATTGGCTGCTGGCTGAGAAAAATCATAACTAGTCTAATGTGCATGCAACATTACATCACTTCTCCGCACACAGATGTCTTTCTACGAGACACTGACATGGTATTTAACTGAAAAGTCATTCAAAATTAGTCAAGTCAATGAAGGCACCATTTAATGGTTGGACAAACAATTTTTATACTTTCCAAACCAATGCTGGGCAAATCCTTTCTCTTTTTTGTTTTTCCCCATTCAAGTAAACTTGACAGGCTGACAAGCAAAGTTTGTGCATTGCTTTGCAGTGATGAGGAGGCTCCACGTTTGACTGCTCTGTAAAGCCTAGGGGTAGCTTTATACACAGTTGCATAGTTAGTCTGGCTGAAAAAAGACAAAAGTCCATCCAGTTCAAGCATTAGTTGCTGACTGGTTATCAGTCTGAGTCTCTGGATGTTTTTTATAGGCTGCTGGACTAAGTCTACATTCACATCGGTGGTTGGTATTCAAGTGATTGGGGCTAGCAGCTTCACCTAGCCACTGAGAGCCGCAGCAGGATTTTCTGCTACAATTGGCACTGGCCCTAATTGCCAGTGTGAATGTAACCTTAGTGCAGATCTCCTGCTCCTGACCAGTTTTTCCACTGCTGCTAGAATCCACTAAACCAGGGGTGTCAAACTGGCGGCCCTCCAGCTGTTGCAAAACTACAGGTCCCATCATCCCTCTGCCTTTGGGAGTCATACTTGTAACTGTCAATCTTGCAATGCCTCATGGGACTTGTAGTTTGGCAGCAGTTAGAGGGCCACCAGTTTGACACAAGTACCCTAAACCATCTATGAGAAAACAGACTTCCAGTAGTTTTAATGATAGACACATCCCAGCCTCCACTACAGGGACCTCAGAAGGGTCTAGTCTTGCCTTGAGGCAGGATCAGAGAAGTTTTTCTGCTCTGCTTTGAGGAAGTAGGTATGTGCACTATGATGGGTTCCAGGGGGTGCTTTGGAGGACTGGCCAATAAAAGGAGGGCTGTGCAATGCCACATTATGCTACCCATTTTATGCAAGTTTTTTTTTGTTGTTATGGACTCCAGAAGAACAGATATCAGCAGTGTGGCAATCGCAGCACTGCATGATTGGGAAGCCCTCCTACTGGCCTTAGGCATCACAGCCCATTTAAAGTGTCATCTCCTGACAGTTTAACGGAGTTATGCACAATGTCTGATGTCTGGCCAACTCTCCTAGATGCATTTCCTCCTGGCAGCAGTGTTTTGGCAGAAAAAAAACGCTTGTCACTTGTAAACATTTAGGCACATCAAGCGTTTGGGCATTTATTCATTTCACTGGCCAAAATAATCATTTATTCTGGGCATTGAAATGAAATCACACTCAAGCACTAAACGCGCCTAGTGTTAAATGTGCATTTAGATGTGTGTACACATGTTAAGTGGGTTTTTATTGGGGGGGGGGGGGGGGGGTTCTGTCAACACACTACTGCTCTTGGATGCACTGGCAGTATTTTTCTTTGTTCTGCCTCTAAATGTTTGTGCGCATGGACACACAGGCTAACGTGCAGGAGGGTTTAGAGGCAAAAAAAAAATGCCAGGTGCCCCAAACAGCATTAAAACTTCCAGTGTGCATGAGACCTAGTTTCTACTTTTTTCAGGGTGTTTTTGTTTTTTTAAATTCATAGCGGCAGCATAGTCTCTGTAATACATTAAATATAATGTTTTTGGTTAAATTTATTTGGAAGTATTTTCATCTCCCTAAAAAGAAAGTAACAATGTAAAAAAAAAAAAAATAGCTCCTGAATTTATGATAAAATGTATAATAAAACATTATACATTCTCTTTGAAGAACTGATCATCCTTCCTACTTGTCTGCATTATAAATGATCTGACTGTTTCTTTACCTATATATTACTGGTTCATGTGCTGACTATGGTAACTTTCTTTCAATTTCCCAATTTTCGGTTGTAAAAACGACCAAGTGGTTCAAGACAACCGTTGTGGAAAAGCAATTTTGTTTTCTTCCAGTAGGATTCCATTTACCGACTCATGCTAAGTATTTATTTTTCTTCCAGACGTTATTCTTTTGTTGTTTATCTTCTACTACACTGGAAGCATGCGAAATGCCCTGATTTACTCCAGCATGTATCCTTTACGGTAGTTATTAACGGTATTGACAGTTATTAAAACGGTCATTAATAAGGTAGTTGGACTCCTTATGGGAAGGTTGTGTCTAATACTGAGAAGTAGAGAAGCAACAGCAATGTTGGTGGATTCAACAATGATTAATGGGAGCTGTGATACTTCACCTTGCGGAACAAGTATGCAGATCTGGCATTTAGAGAACCATCCTAAATCTTTATGTGCATATTTGTTATTGATCAGTGACTCTATGAAGTATATTTATAATGCATTGAATGTGGTATTCACAAAACATTCACATAAATATAGCCCTACGTGTTGAAGGAAAAGGGTCAGGATAACAACCAGGCAACTAGTATTTGTCAGAAATGGCAGCTTCCTTAATTCCCTACAGACATGTTTCTTTAAAATTACCTACATATGGAACACTAAATTTAAAACCAATTAAACCCCCGTACACAGGGGCCGAATATGTTGGCCAGGTCAACAGGAACCGTTCGACATTTGGTCCATTTGTACGGCAGCTGGGCTGACAGAAGCTGTATGTTTATCTGGCTTCTGTCGAAGGGGCATGGCCAAAAAAAGGTCTACCGTTTTAGCTTCTGATCAGTGCAATCAGCCAATGGCTGAGGGCGCTGACTGATGTGTTCTGGTGGGAAATCGCGCTGTACTAATGCAGCTTGTGTTAGTACAGAAATCTGTCACCTTTTTTTTCACGAACGAAAAAGAAACTTAGTATGTACAAGGCTTAAACCCTGATATCCACTGAAGACAGCGCCATCTTAGCATCTATTTAGATCTACAATTGCCATGGTACTACACATGTGATGAACAATGACACCAAACCTTTGAGGACTTGAAAGTTTAGGGTAGATCTGATATAGGCACACTGGCAGCTGTGACAGTTATCACCATGCCTTGAATGTAGCATACACTGTGCATGTGCTAGTAGAGAGACTGTAAATGAAAAAACTTCTGAAAACAAAAATATATGTGTGATTAAGGATTTAATACCATTTATTGAACACCTCTGGTGTGAGCTTTCTTTTGGGAAGCCATAAAATTGGCAGATTTAGTTCACACCTGCCTTGTTGGGTAACATTGCCCACACAGGCCTAAGGTAAAAAGCTTTGCTTTGTTTAGGGCTTGTTGACACCAACAGGGTGGGATTTCTTTGCAGTCTTTAAAGTGATATTAAAGGTTTATTTTTGTAAAATAACAAACACGTCATACTTACCGTCTCTGTGCAGTGGTTTTGCACAAAGCAGCCACAATCCTCTTCTCTGGTCCCCTGCCAGTGCTTGCTATAGGGGCACTGGTGCGTGCTGGTCCATAAGACACACAAAGTGTGGGTCGGCCCCGCTGCTGCTACCACCTTACTAGCTGTGATCGCTCCCACTGCTGTATCTGAGCTAATAAGGAGGCAGAGACCCGGGGGAGCCACTGCTCTCATGCACATTGTTGGATCGAGATCAGGCTAAGGTGAGTATTTGGGGGGCTGGGGGGGGAAGCTGCACACAGGTTTTTATATTCATGTGTAGAATGTATGAGGTAAAAAACTCTCAGCCTTTACAACCACATTAAAGCGGAGCTCCACCAAAAAGGGGAAGTTCCGTTTTAAGGCCTCCACCCCGCTCCTGTTTGTGAGATGAGGCTTTTGGGGAGGATGGAGGGAGTGGGTACCTGATTTTAACAGCTACCCACTCCCACTTCCTGTTAGACCACCTAGGTGATCTGAAGCGGACGTTCTTCTCCCTCCCACAGCCTTCTGGGACACATGACAGGTCCCAGAAGGCTGCCGGACCATTCACCGTGCTCAGCCAACTGTTATAGCTGGATGCCCATAGTAAAGATGCCAGAGAGAGAGGACACAAACTGAAGTGGCTGGCTCGATCACAGCACTGGATCCTGGGACAGATGAGTAGGTGTTTATTAAAGGTCAGCAGCTACAGTTTTTGTAGCTGCTGACCTTTAATTTTTAAACAGAAGACTGGAGCTCCATTTTAAGTATAGATGCCCCCTTTATTATCTGACTCGGCCACTAGAGTGTACAAATACAAATCTGTATAAAAATACAGCACAGCAAGAAAATAAAGGTTCCAAAAATCAAATACAATATTGCTGTGAAGTAAACATTATAGTGGGATCTTTCTGAAAATGCACCATTGTTTTCCTTTAACTGCACATCAGTTTTTTTTTGCACTCTGGAATATTTTGGTCCTCCAGAAATGGATAATAGATTTGGCGCTGGTAAGTCTGATGTTTATAAGGTCAGGTATAGAGGGAATTTTAAGAAATATGAGGCGCTACAGCACCCCTGTACCCCCACTTGCTTCTAGTAGAGTTCAGGGTAGATGGTGAGCATCAGTCCCACTGTGGTCACAAATCCTGGCTTGTGCAATGTGCTGCAATGCATTTCCATAAAACTGTATTCAGTTGAGATCCTTTGTATTTGCCAAACTTGCTGCCATCAGGTAATACTGTTTGTATGAAGGGGTGTACTTAGCAATGGTAGGTAGTACATCTCAAAGTAACATCCACATGCCATGACCTAAGGATTTCCAACAGAACATTGCTCAAAAGCATCACACTGCCTCTGCCAGTTTGCCTTCTTTTTGGTGCCATCTTATCCCCAGGTAAAAGGACATACATGCAACTAGCCATCCGCATGATGTAAAAAATGCCAAAAGCGTCAGTGTATAATTCTTACTGTGGCCATGAAGAAAGCATCACAACCACGACATTAGTACACCCTGCTGCCTCTGAAACTAAAGGGAGAACTCTTGGCGGTAAAATTATGTCTCATCGGTAGTGTGAATGAGCCCTAACAGATTCCTTTACCCCACAGAAAAGCTCAGATGGATGAATCTCCCACTGTAGCTATTGAATTCTGACCGCGGAATGATACCATCAATTTTCCACCTGGCTCCTATAATTTTTCAGTTGAAGGACATCAGGCATAGGAGAGCCAACAGGGCCACCCATTGCTCGAATTTCAGTTGGTTCATTAGGAACTGGCTGAAATTTGCTCAGTTTATGTCCAGATTAAGGGAGGAGAAAGTTCCATCAGTCTGGTGAGAGAAGCTTGTACCCTCACATTTATAAACACGGTTGAGTAAAAAGGAACTAACAATGTAACTAACCAAATCTTCATACTCCTGTGTTTTGCATGCCTACACTTAGTTCTTTATGAGCCTGTCAATTGGTTTAGATTACTCCATATGCTGATATATTAACGATAACTTTGTGTCTTTCAGAATCTGTGCACCGTGATCAGCGCCTCAAGCAAGTTTCTTCAGCTGCAACATCTCTGGCGCACAAAAGACTCCGGACAAGCTAGTGCCCTCACATGGGCCATGGCGACCTATACCTCTGCTAGTAAGGCTCTCACCAAGAGTGAAGGCAGAATGTTTGTTTTAAATTGATTTTAAAAAGAAAAGGAAGCTACTATTGTTGACCTCCTTTTTTGAAAATGCCAGCTGCCTGGCAACAGTGCTGATCCTCTTGGGTCCATTGGTTCGGAACAAGCATGTAGTAAGTGAAGTTAGAACTCCTGATCTGGCTGCCTGTCCCAGGTCTTTGAATCAGAATGAACTGAAAACATTGGAGCTGCATGACAGCTAGGAAACTAGACATTTTTTAGAAAGAGAGATCAGTAATGACAGTCTTCACAGGTTTCCTTTAGTGGAAGCAGGCATTTTATGGAGTAATAGTCTGTCTAGGAAGATCACTGAAAATAAACCGCTTTCCACATTCTTTATTTAAAAGAGAAGTGCGGGATTAAAAAAAAAAAAAACAATCATACTCACCTAGGTGGATGGTATATATGTCTTCTGCCACCTATGCGACCGAGAACTGAACAATCAAAGACCACTGATCTCTCAGTTATTGGTCTTCAGTGAGTGACTGTCAGTCACCGGCTCTCTGCTCTGGCTCACTGGAGTGCCAGGCTTTGGACGGGTCAGGAGTGTGCTGAGAGGCTGAGCCAGCTGCCAGTCCAGGCATCTGGGTGGCTCCCAACATTAAAGTCAGGATCTCTCTTGAGCCTGGACCCGGATCAATGACATCAGTCAACAGCGGACTTTAGCCTACTGAACATGGGTCACAGGAGTGCAGAACTAAGTGCATTTCGGTGACATATGGGGGAGAAGTAGGGGCAAAAGAGTTTTGGCCCTACTTCTTTTTTAATAATTAGTAGAGATAACATAGGTTAAAGCTAAGAAAATCTGCAGCATAATTGAAATATTTTAATTTCCATACAATTACACATGTATATAACAAAACTATTATCTCTTTACAGCAAGAATATTTACAACATTGATGACCACAGGAGACAAAGCAGGTACTGTACAGAAAATTCACAGGAAACAGCACTTCAATATTAGCTGAGGTCTGACCTCAATACCATTGAAATCCTGTGATTGATCTAAAACCTACCCCTTCTATCTTTTCACCAATGTACAGTATGTGTGAATGTAATCAGCTTAACCACCTCCCGTCTGGCTGTTGTATATAAACGGCCGGACGGTGGCAGTGCAGGGGCAGGTGGCCGTTTATAAACGGCCTCCTGCTTGTGCACGCTCCCTGGGAGCGCGCAGCACCATAATCCAGTGCCCGCTGTGTCCTTCGGACACAGTGGAACATCGATTGTCGTACGGGACCTCTGTGCGAGGTCCCGATCTTGTGATCACTGATTGGCCAATCAGTGATCACATGCAGAGTAGTAAGCAAGATGTCACTTCTGACATCATTGCTTACTACGTGTGAAATCTGTGAATGATCACAGGGGTCACATGGTAGAAGGCTATTCACAACAGCCTTGTACCATGTGGCAAGCTGTGACCAATCACAGCTCACACAGTAGTTCTCAATGGCTGCAAGAATGCAGCTAGAGAGAAGGAGAAATGATTGCTTTTACATCCTTTATGGGTGTAAAAGCAATCGGTGTAAAAAAAAAAAAAAAATCTTCATCACACCCACAGGTAGTACAGTGTCACCATGGTGACACTGTACTGCTAGGGTGACAGTATGTAGTAAAAAAAAAAAAACAAAATAAAAATGTAAAAGCAATTTTTTAAAAATTATAATTTTTGGTTATAAACCAAATTGGGTTATTTTTTTTTTTTTTTAATAAAAAGATAACAGTAAATTTTGGCCAAGATTTATGATGAAATATTTATTTGCAAAAACACTTTTTTTTCAAAATATAGCATAAAAATAAAAAATCCCAGTGGTGAATAAATAACACCAAAATAAAGCTTTATCTGTCTCAAAAAAAATGCTAAAATATTCATATGGGTACAGTGTTGCATGACCGCGCAATTGTCATTCAAAGTGTGATAGCGCTGAAAGCTGAAAATTGACCTGGACAGGAAGGGGGTAAAAGTGTCCGGACTTGAAGTGGTTAAAGCAAATAACCTTCTCAATGTGTTAATGGTTTGTAAATTTGTTCCTGTGTATAGTTTTCTATTTTTTTTTTTTTTATGTATAGTATATACTGTGCTTCATGCTTGGTACACCTGCACAACGGTTGGAAATTCTGTGTCTCTCTCTGTGCTTACAATGAAATCACTGTGTCGATTAGGGTATCATCCATGTGATCTGAGGTTTCTTTAGCGCATTACTGACTGAAACCAAGAAAGCAGTGTATGCAATATAGACACAAATATATGAAAAAGGAAGCATGCAAGAAGTGAAAGTCACAGAAAAATGTCTGGATAATGTTATAGCAACTGAAAATGGAACCCCAGCCAAATTTGTTTTAAATTATGATGGAGAGGGTCAGGATTTGATTCCTTAGATCTTGATGCCTTCAGTGATGCATCAGAAAGTAAGTGAAGAGCTCAACAAAATGAGTGGGAATCCCACTTTAAACAGGTGTCCTCCATGAGATTTCCCTGTTATTGTTGCTGTGGTGGCAGCTGTTGATATTTTTTTTTTTTTTTTTTTTTTTTCCCTTGCTATGACAGTGGCCACCAGCACAGTAAGTGATGTTGAACCTGCTAAGAGAGGTTCCAGCTCTTCTACATTTTTGGCTGGGGTTCCCCCCCCCCCCCCCCCATCCTATCCATCATCACCAACAACTCCACTATCACTCCCGCCCCGCAAGCCAAAGTCCTTGGCGTCATTCTTGACGCGAACCTCTCCCTCCAACCGCATGTCAAATCACTCACAAACACATGCAGGCTCCATCTTTGCAACATTGCCAAGATACGCTCCTTCCTCACCCCAGACACCACCAAACTTCTAATACACTCCCTCATCATCTCACGCCTTGACTACTGCAACTCCCTCCTCACTGGCCTACCCAAGTGCAGGCTCTCCCCGCTCCAGACCATCCTGAACTCAGCTGCCAGACTCATCCACCTCACCACCCGCTCCACCTCTGCCACCCCCCTCTGCCTCTCCCTCCACTGGCTCCCGATTGCCCAACGCATCAAATTTAAACTCCTAACCCTGACCTACAAAGCCGTTCACAACACTGCCCCTGACTACCTCACCAACCTGATCACCAAGTACCACCCTACCCGTACCCTTCGCTCCTCACAGGACCTCCTTCTATCCTGCTCCCTGGTCTCTTCCTCCCATGCACGACTGCAGGACTTCTCCAGGTCCTCCCCCATCCTCTGGAACTCACTGCCCCAATCCATCAGACTGTCGCCTTCCCTATTCACATTCAGGCGCTCCCTCAAAACCCATCTCTTCAGGGAAGCCTACCCCACCCTCACCTAACGGCCATCGGCCATTCCTCCCACCACTTCATCCCCCTCAGCCACTTCCTACTGTACCTTTACCCCCTCCCTCCTAGATTGTAAGCTCGTAAGAGTAGGGCCCTCTTACCCCTCGTACGTTGTTTGTTGTTGTTGTACTGTGCCATGTATTGTCCCCCCTATTGTACAGCGCTGAGCAAACCCTTTGGCGCTATATAAACTCATAGTAATAATAATAATAATAATAATAATTACACAACATATGCCATAGTTTGCCTGTTGTGTGAAAATTGTATTGCACCAGTAGTAATATATGTTATCCTCCTTTGCAGTTTTGCTGCGGTTCATCGTTCTGCTAATCCTCAATCTGTGGGTCACACTGGTCATTGTTAAATACAGGAAGAAGGAAGATAAGAAAGATGCCAAGAAAAGAGACTAGCATCTCCTGCATCACATCATAAATGGGTCGAACATAACCAGGGTATTCCTGCTATGTGTTACACAGCAAGGTTAGCAAGAAAAAGGACCAACCGTGTTCTATAAAAAACATAAAAATTAAAATCTTGTACACAGAACATGGAGGACGACGTTACAGACCCCTACTTCTAATAATGCTAGTTGCCTGGCTGTTAATGCTGAGCCAATGGCTATTATACGTATATTAGGGCAATGTTTCTCAATTTTTTTTCAGTCTAGAAGACACCCTTTAAAATGATGCACAATTTAGGGGAACCCTATTCTGAAATGTAAAACCAAACTAATAGTAATACATAATGCACCAACATCCACACATGTAGGACACCCAATATTAGAGGTGATTTATTCTTACAAAGCAAATATACCTTTGCACACTTACTAGTATTACAGTCTCTGTTCTTTCTGTTTCTCTCCATCACTCCTCTAATGTGACCCCAGTGGTGATGGAGAGGGGCAAACAAGGATACTGTGCAGATGCCCAATGTCCTCCTTATCAACTGAACGCCATTCATTGTTAGGATGCCAGTGGCTGTAAGCTTTCAGTAGTGCACAAAGAAAGCCTGTGGCTTTGTGAAACTAAATGGCAGGCTTCATCCACTCGCTGGCTTGTATACATTTTTTGGTCAATTTTAGGTATTTTTCCAAGGCACCCCTGAAGAAATCTGAAGGCACCCCAGGGTGCCTGGGCAACCTGGTTGAAAAAGGCTGCATTAGGGCACTAATCAACAACAAGTGAGTTCTGAATAATCTAATCTGCATGCTTGCTGTAGTTCAGTGAAGCAAAGTATAGAAGTAAACCAGGCCATTCCTTCCATGAGGCCAGTTGTGTGGCCACTCAAGGAGTCCTCTCACTAACATTCTGGTCTTGCAGGCCCGGCGTTACTGAGCTCACTGCCCAGCCTGTTCAAAACTGCAGGCACAGTATTGGTGAGCACAGTGCTGCCGGCCGCTGCACCTGCCAGACACAGCAGATGAGCAGCGACTTTTACTCTGACGCTGATCTGTGTGTGCACACATGGGTAGCACTCTTGTCGCCCTAGGCTGCCCTAAGAATGGCCAACTCAGGCACACTTCTGGAAAGCCAGTGAACTGCTGTAAGCTCTTAAGAGCAGGGTCCTCTTAACTTATTGTTTTGTAACTACTGTCTCCCTTTCGATTGTAAAGCACTGAACAAACTGTTGACGCTATATAAATTCTGTAACAATAAAAATAATAACCACTGTTTAAAAGAGGTCAGCAATGGCACTCCACTTCCTTCCTATCCATTTCACTCGTTTTGCTGTTGAAAAGGCACAAAGGACACATTAGCCAATGTTCTGAAACTTTGCAGGATCCCTTTCTCAAGGAGACAGCTTGCTGTCTGTGATCTGGGGTTCTGGAAATAAGATGTCTTGTTCCCATTATTTTTATCTTTATATGTTCACCCGAATTTCTGGTCTCTCTGCAGCCAGTTTTCAATGTAGCACATGGCATATATACAGTACATTCCCTTTTTAAAAGAATCCTTTAATGACAGAAAGATACGGACAACTTCTGATGCTAGTTATCATGTACTTTAGATCACTGACCCCCCCCCCCCCCCCAAAAAAAAAATATGGAAGACTTCTGAGTTTTCTGACGTACATACTTGTTCCAGGTCAGTAGTTCACAATGTACTCAGCCAGCCAGGGATGTATATCAGCATGGAATCTAACAAAATTCTAAGCGTACTGCAATATCCCCTAAAGGCACTAACAGACTTTTTGATTTCAGTGTTGGCTGAAGTTACTTTCTAAACCATATCTTGCATGCGAAAATGTGGTACATATGCACAACAGAGGGTTACTTTTTTTTTTAACTTTGTTACTGATTCTATACAGATGTAAAATTTGTCATTTTAATGTTGTGTATGTGTCTGTGTGCGTTTTTGTGTTTGTTTTTTTTTTTTTGTAATGGGGTGAAGAGGGGTTAAACCTTGCCCAGGATATATAAAGTTTGAGGTTGCAGCACCTGGGGTATGTTCACTCTGCATGTGGTGGGACTATGTTGGGTTCCAGTGCAGTCCCACCACAGACAAGGCAAAATGCATTGTCTCCTGTATTCCTGGTTTTCACCACTGCGATACACTGCATGCAGTACTTTTTCAGCACAGCTCAATGTGTGGCAATCCACTGCCTTGCACTGTGCGGCCAGCAGTTGAACTTTTAAGAGATGTATGTGTGACATCTCCATAAAGTTCGTTTAAAAAAAAAAAAAAAAAAAAAACGATGTGATGCACCAAGCTCACTACATCATCACTGTGCTGATCTTGACCCCACTGCACCGCAGCATTCCAGCCACTGTGTTGCAATGCAGTGGCTGGTGTGAATGAGCCCTTAAAGGATTTTAGTCCAAACAGAGGAGTTATTTTTTTATTTGTCCATTATAGCTGCATGCAAATTAATGTTGTGCAAATAGGGCAAAATCAATCGTTCTCAGGTTATATTCTCTGCAGATTGAAAGCTATTCATTAAAAAAAAAAAAGTGTCAATGGAGAATATACAGCATTATGGCCACTAGAAGCAAATGCAATAGTCTGTATGCAACTAAGAATACACCAAAACATCTGTTGTAGCTAGTTGATTTTCTTGTCAAACAGGACTTCTGGCACCTAAATGAATGCCGGGAAATAAATTCTTAATCTTGACAATTTCAGTCTTGTAGTGCCGCTGTAAGTGTTCCATTTGGCTTATGCTGCTGGCCTTTTATTGGGAAGTTTGGTTGCCATTCTCACATGGGAGGGAATTGTTTCTGCCTATAAACCTCAGATGGCAACAGAGTACCATAAATTTAATAGGCCAAATATGCCAATCTATTGTTAATTCTTGTTGACAAACTTGGGCACTGCATTTTGAACACGGGCTTCTCTAAACAGTTTTACATTTCTTGTAAAGTATTTTTTTTTTAATAACAAACATGTTTACTTACCTGCTCTGTGCTATTGTATTACACAGAATGGCCCTTAACTTCCTCTTCTGGGGGCTCCCGCCGGTGCTCTCTTCTCTCCTCTTCCTATGGGGACACACAAGCAAGCTCACTCCCAAGCCAGGCTGTGTGCATCTATTGACACACAGCACAGCTCGGCCCAACTCCCTTCTCATAGCATTCGGCTAACAGCTGTAGCCAGTGGCTCCCACTTTTGTCTCTGAGCCTGTGAGAAGAGAGAGAGAGCAGCGCTGCTACAGACTGAGGTAAGCATTTGGGGAGGAGGGGGAAACAACTAGTGGAATAGGATATGTACCTTTTCAGCAAATGGTTTATAGTACACATGTGTATATACCACAGTAGTATCTGTTTTAAAGGACCATAGAAAAGGGTCTTGTGCAAACACTGCCTAATTTAATAACTGCATATTAAATGTTCCAACCAGACACTGAATATTCACGCATGAAAACAAACAAATGTGCGATTGTCTAAAATAGCATGCCATTAATTAATTTATAGATAGAGAAATATATATATACACACACAATGACCAGTCATTAAACGTTAAGATTTATTACAGGTACTTCTATAGCGCTGTCAATATATGCAACACTTTACATATATATCTGTACGTTCACATCAGTCCCTAACCCTCAAGGGGTGTACAGTCTAAGGTCCCTAACTCATACATACTAGGGCCAGTTTAGACAGGAGCCAATTAACCTACAAGCATGTCTTTGGAGTGTGGGAGGAAACCAGAGTACGCAGAGGAAACCAACACAGGTGGTGCCATAGTTGGGATTTAAAAGGACAACCCTAGTGCTGCTCAGCGGAGGTGCTAAACACTTAGCCACTATGCTGCCTCTGAGGGGGTTGACTGAAGGAAAAACTTTTGATCATATGGGTACAATCCATGCAGTTTAAACAGAAAAAATATTATAATGTCGTCCCAAAAATGGGAAAAGTTTTCATCATGATGAGGTGTGTATATGCAGCCAAAATTATTTGCACTTTGCTGATGTAATATTACATTAATAAAGGTTTGCAGTTTTGCAGCATTGATTTCTGTTTAAATGACTATTTTAGCCTCTCCTTTTACATTTCTTATTCATGGAACATGTCTTAATTCATATTTTCTTTCCAGTCAGCAGAAAATAGTCATGTATATTTTGGTCAAAAATTAGCACTATATTTTTGAGTTTTTATTACCTATCTTACAGCAAGATGAAATGTATCTTTTTTGGTATAAAGGTCATGTACAAGGTATATTTTGGTTGAAAATGGAGCGCTTGTATATTTTTGCAATTTTGTTTTTAACCAACTATGAGGGCAAGTGGAAAAAGTAAAATGGGTGATTGGTGATTTTGTTATCAAGTAAAGAAAATGTTTAAACCTGAAATAGAGTGGTGTATTTTATCATAGAACTTGTCTGCGTTTTGTTTTTTTTTTCTTGACATTGGACTTTGACCTGCTAGAAGTCCAGTCTGGCTGTGACACAAGATTTTCTAACTATTACAGACTGGAGGGGGATTCACTAAAGCATAATGCATGAAACATTTTTTTCATCAGCCTTGTGTTATTTGATCATATATAAAATTTAAAATGTTTTACATTCTCTAGAGCAGGGGTCTCCAAACTTTTGAAGCAAAGGGCCAGTTTACTGCCCTTCAGACTTTAGCGGGGCTGGATTGTAGCCAGTGGGAGTAGAAAATGCCCTGGCATCAGTGGGAGTAAACAATACCCTAGGCTTGGTGGTCAGTGGGAGCTACAGCACCCCGTCGCTGGGGTCAGTGAGAGCAACAGCGCCCTGTCGCTGGGGTCAGTGGGAGGAATAGTGCTTCATATCGGTGGAAGGAAAAGTGCCTCAAGGGCTGGATAAAAGCAAGCAGAGGGCCACATCCGACCCATGGGCCGCAGTTTGGAGACCCCTGCTCTAGAGCAGGGGAGGGCAGCCTTGTAGAAGTATATAGAACTACCTGAACAACATGGAGGAGATAGATCACCAGGGTATATTACCTT